CAGGTCATGATCCCAGGGTCCTGGGATCGAGCCCCGCATCGGGCTCCCTGCTCAGTGGGGAGCCTGCATCTCCCTCTCCTCCCCACTTGTGCTCTCTGTTGCTTTCTCTGTTGCTATCTCTGTCTCTCTCAAATAAATAAATAAAATCTAAATAAATAAATAAATAATAAATAAAGCCGTGACACTAGATGAGGGCAGTAAATGATCAGTTAATTGTACTGCCTTTATCAATTTCAGTAATAATTGCATTTCTCTACAGTGTTGCAGAGTGCATGCCTGCACATACATTTCAGGAGACTCTACCTTCTTTGAGTAAAGAAATAAACAGATTCACACAGATTAAATGACTTCCCTTGGGTCACCAGTATTTTAAGTGATGAAACTAGGGTTCCAAAGCCTTTATTTTCATCTGCCCACCAGGTCTTTGCCTTGTCTGTATAAACCAGAAATGTCTGTGTTTATTGATTAGGTGGCTAAAGAAAGCAGCTTGGTCAGGTAGAGAGGCAGCTTGGACAGGTGGGGAAATTTTGCTTTCCTTTCCACAAACATACCTCAGGATCTGTAAATATTTAATTTGTTAAAACTTTGAGATAAAAGGAACAGATTTTGTGTTGCAGATTTTAAAAATTTTAAGAGGGATTTACAAGTATCTGTCAGGTCTTGCCTGTGCTTTTAGTGTTATATTTAAATCATTCCCTAATCCAAGGTCATGAAGATTTGGCCTATGTTTTCTTCTTCTAAGAGTTGTAAGGACGCCTGGGTGGCTCAGTCGTTTAAGCATCTGCCTTCAACTCAGGTCATGATCCCAGGGTCCTGGGATCGTCCCACATCGGGCTTCTTCCTTGGCGGGGAGCCTGCTTCTCCCTCTGCCTGTCTCCCTGCTTGTGTGCTCTCTCCCTTTCTCTCTCTCGCTCTCTCTCTCTGTGACAAATAAATAAAATCTTTTTTTAAAAAAGTTTTACAATTTTAGCTCTTTTGGGGTGCCTGGGTGGCTCAGTCAGTTAAATGTCTGCCTTCGGCTCAGGTTATGATCCCAGGGTCCTGGGATCGAGCCCCGCATCAGGCTCTCTGCTCAGTGGGGAGCCTGCTTCTCCTCTCCCTCTGCCTGCCGCTTTGCCTACTTGTGCTCTCTCTCTCTATCAAATAAATAAAATCTTAAAAAAAAATTAGTTCTTTTGTTTAAGTCTCTAATCCATTTTGAGTTAACTTTGTATGTGGTCTGAAGTGGGAGTCCAGCTTCCATTCTTTTGCATGTGGATATCCAGCTTTCCCTGTACTGTTTGTTAAAAAGACTGCTTTTTCCCCCATGTAATGGTCTTAGAACCCTTGTTTGAAAGTGAATTGGCCATATATTGTGAGGGTTTGTTTCTGGGCTCTCTGTTCGGGTCCTTTGGTCTGTGTGTCTGTCCCTATGCCAGCATCACACTGTTTTGATTACTGTAACTTTGTAATAAGTTTTGAATTTGGGAAATGTGACTCTTCTGTCTTTGTTCTTGTTTTCAAAACTGTTTCTGGCTCTTCATGGTCTTTTGAGATTCCATATGAATTTCAGGATTGGTTTTTCTATTTCAGTAAAAATGCTGTCGGGATTTTGCTAGGAATTGCATTGAGTCTCTACATTGCTTTGGATAGTATTACCATCTTAACAATATTAAGTGTCCCAATCCATGAACATGAGATGTTTTCCATTTATTTAGAAACCTTAATTTCTTTCAACAGTGTTTCGTTTTCAGTGTACAAATCTTATGCTTCCTTGTCTAATTCCTAAATATTTTATTCTTTTTGATGCTATTGTAAATGGTGTTGATTTTTAAATTTCCTTCTTGGGTTGTTCATTGAACGTATATAGAATACAACTGGGGGCACCTGGGTGACGCATTCAGTTAGGCGTTGGACTCTTGGTTTTAGCTCAGTTGGTGATCTCAGGTTCGTGGGATCGAGCCCCGCATCAGGTTCCGTGCTCATCACAGAATCTGTGTCGGACTCTTTCTCTCCCTCTGCCCCTCCCTCTTATTCTCTCTTTCTCTCTCAAATAAATAAATTCTTAAAAAAAAAAAAAAAGAATACAACTGAATACTGTGTGTTGATTTTTTTTTTTTTTTTAAGATTTTATTTGAGAGAGAGGGGGACAAGCACACTCCACACTGAGCACAGAGCTTGATGCCAGGCTCCATCCCATGACCCCGAGATCACAACCTGAGCAGAAACCAAGAGTCGGATGCTCAACCAACCCAGCCACCTAGGCGCCCCTGTGTGTTGATATCTTATAACTGCTGACTTAATTTATTAGTGCTAACATTTTTTGTATGTCAGTTCTTTCAAGCTTTCTGTGTATAAGATCATCTATGAACAGAGATAATTTTACTTCTTCCCTTACAATTTGGATGCCTTTTATCTCCTTAGCCTAATTGCTTTGGTTAGAAATTCCAGGATCATGTTGAATTGAAGTGGCAAGAGTGGACATCCTTGTCATGTTTTTGATCTTAGAGGGGAAGCTTTCAGTCTTTCACCATTGAGTATGATGTGGGTTTTTCATATATGGCCTTTATCATGTTAAGGAAATTTCCTTCTATTCCTAGTTTATTGGGTATTTATGAAAGTGAATTGAATTTTGTCACATGCTGCTTCTGCATCAATAGAGATAATTGTGTAGTGGTTTATCCTTCATTCTAATAATGTGTAGTAAATTACATTCATTGCTTTTCATATGCTGAGCCATCTTTGCATTCTGGGAATAAATCTCACTTGGCCATGATACATACTTTTAGTATACTGCAGAATTTACTTTGCTAGTATTTGTTGAGGATTTTTGCATCTATATTCACAGGGGATATTGTGTAGTTTTCTTTTCTTGTAGTGTCTTTGACTGGCTTTGGTATCAATAATGCTGGCCTTAGAATGAGTTAAGAAATATTCCCTCCTCTTTAATCTTTTCGAAGAGTTTAAGAAAGGATTGGTATTGGGGCGCTTAGGTGGCTCAGTTGATTAAGCTTCTGACTTGATCTCAGCTCAGGTCTTGATCTCAGGGTTGTGCTAGGCCCTGCATGGGTCTCCGATGGGAGTCAGCTTCAAATTCTCTCTCCCTCTGCCACTCCCCCACCCCACATGTTCCTGCTTTCTCTCTCAATAAATAAATCTTAAGGAAGGAAGGAAAGAAAAGAAAAGAAAAAGAAAGAAAGAATTGGTGTTAATTCTTCAAATGTTTTGTCACAGTTTTTGTGAAAGGAATAAATGAATCAGGTCTTTTTTGAAGCTGTCAGCAGGTTTCAAGGAACTAGAAAGGTGTCTTGAGGCCTGCACATTTCCATAAGCACCACATGAAATTACCATTGTATGAATCAACTCAAAAGTCACTAGGGTCTGCTGGCCTCTTAGCTTTGTTCCTGGGCTTCTTTCTTCTTATTTATGTGCTGATGTATCTAGAATCACATGGTCTATATCTTCATGTCTGTTTTGGAGATTGGGCATCCTCAGAAAGACTTTTGACTATGTATATTCAGTCTCTGAAATACTTCACATCCAGTGTAATCCTTAAATCTAACTCTTTGAGAACTTGGTGAGTGATCTCAAATTTAGTAATAAAGAAGCTTAAGGCAGAAAAATTTTGCCTGTAAGCACAAAGGATCTCTGGCTTTTGTGTTTTGTTTTGTTTTGACCCCTTATTGAGGCTGCATTTTGCACAGATTGGTTCCTCCTTTGTTTTACCTCCTTTATCAGCCTAAGACAAGGGCATTAATTATTGTTCACAGAGACTATATACAGAGTCTTCTGTGCTAAGATAAAATAAGCATTCTTCTAGAATCTAAAAAGTTAGGTCCTTTTCTTTGAGGTTGAATAAGCAATGGCCAAAAATAATTCCTTATAGGCCAAAGGAGGCTTTGCATCGTTATGTTTGGGCTCTCTAACTAGGTGTCTGAATGTGTCATCCATTATCACAAAACTGACCAGTGGTGACTCTTGAATACAGTGACTTTCAAACATTTTTGATAGCTTCCTACAATAAGAAGTTTTATAGCATGACTTAGTACATAACAAAAATGTATATACAACTAACATGAAGGTCTCAGAGGCCAATTCTTAACCTTTATTAAAGAAAATGCAACCTGCTATCTTCTGTTTTGTATATTTCTTCTTAAAAAGAAGCTGTTCTCAACTTGCTGGATTGATTTCATAACCTGCTAATAAATGTGGGCTTTAGGGACGCCTGAGTGGCTCAGTCAGTTAAGCGTCTGCCTTCGGTTCAGGTCATGATCCCAGGGTCCTGGGATTAAGTCCCACATTGGGCTCCTTGCTCAGTGAGGAGCCTGCTTCTCTCTCTGCCGCTCCCCCTGCTTGTGTTCTGTCTCTGACAAATAAAATCTTAAAAAAAAAAAAAATATGGGCTTTAATTTAAAGAATATTCCTCCACGACCCTCAAATTTACCTGTGCATATCTTTTTCTGGGCTCGTACACTTCAGGCATTTTGATTCTGTGGTTTGAAGTAGAACCCAGGAGTTACTGTTTTTATTAAGTGCCCAGATAATTCTGATATAGCCGTAGACAAGTATTTGGGAACTACTAATAGATCCAGTCTAATAAAAACTATTTTGTTTGAAACTAAATCTGTTATATAAAATTGCTGACCCCAGGGTGCCTGGCTGGCTCAGTCGGTAGAGCATGTGACTCTTGATCGTGGGGTCATGAGTTCAAGCCCCACATTGGGGGTCGAGTTTACTTTAAAAAAATAAGTAAATAAAAATAAAATTGCTGAAACGATCATTGTGACTTTTTAATATTGCCCTTTTAATTTTAGGAAATAAATTAGCCATTACCTAAACTCTCTGGACTCCAGTATTCATATTATTTAATAAAATGTGGGGAGCCATTTTATGTAGTGATTGACAGGTAAAGGACGGTTAAATTCCTCTTGATTATAGAAAAAACAGGCTGGGCATGTAGTAGATTTAAGTTACTCTCTGGTTTGTTCCATTCAGTAGTGATGTTGTCTTCTTTGACACAGACCAGTTTATGTCTGACTTGGAACACCAGCCATCAGGTTCAGCAGAGAAATGGCCTAATCACAGTGAGCTCTCATGTCCAGCTCCTTTCTGGAGAATCTAGAGGGTGAGTGTTGATTGAAATGTGTCATTGTTTTTATACTCAAGTCTGGTATTTGCATGCAGTGGCTGGATTTGCATGTGCTACAGAGGATGGGGGTATACATGGGCAATCTTCTTGATAAGTCCACCCATTATCTTTGGAGCTGCACGTTGACTACAAGACTCTGCTTTTTAAATCTAACCACATCCAGGTTCTTACACTAGTGCTTATAAATTTAATCTGGGTTTGAATGGAAGGCAAGTGTTTAACTGAATTTATTTATTTATTTATTTATTTATTTATTTATTTATTTTTAAAGATTTTTATTTATTTATTTGACAGAGAGAGACACAGCGAGAGAGGGAACACAAGCAGGGGGAGTGGGAGAGGGAGAAGCAGGCTTCCTGAGGAGCAGGGAGCCCAATGCAGGGCTCGATCCCAGGACCCCGGGATCATGACCTGAGGTGAAGGCAGTCGCTCAACCAACTGAGCCACCCAGGCGCCCTAACTGAATTTATTAAAGCAGAGAGGCCCATCTGTAAGAATTCTATGGCTTGGGGGAAAAAAAAAGGATACTGTGGGTTGGGTCCTGAGTAAAACTGGTTACCAGTCAGGTGTATAAGCCTACTGATTTCTGGTCATGTACTCTAAGTTTTGATGTGAGGCAGGATGAAACGGAAATAAAGCAGGAAATTTTATCTATTTGCCAGACGCAACCTGGATCATGAGCCTGCCTTGTGGGCCCCTGTTTGCACTCCTGATAGTTCTTCTGGGATTCCATTTAGAAAGAATCCATAGAAATGAAGTCTGTGTGAGGGAGGGGCTGGGCCTCAGGCCTCTCTACCTCACCAGCCCACCAGGAACATAGCTCTCCCTTGCTGTCACACAGCTCCTTTCTTCAAAGACTCTGAAAGTTACTTGAGAACATATGTGATTCTAAATATACAAATTATATATTGTAAATATACAAATTATATTGTATATTATATATATAAATTAAAAATACACAAATTGTAATTCTTGAAATGTCATTTGAATTTAATTTTAATGAATTTAGATTTGGAAGGAGACTACCCAAATCTTTATATTTAGGATACTGAAGCCTCATCAGACAAGGCTGCAAAACACTGCCTTCTCCCAGAAGCTGAGCCCACCCTGGTCTCACATCATTCTTGTCTCTAGTCATGAGAGGAATAAAAATGGCAACTAAATGCTTACATCTCTAAGGAGAGTTATAACCTGAAGGTTTTTTTTCTTTTTATATTGAAGTATAATTGACATACAATATCCTGTTAAGTTTCAGATGTGCATCACAGTAATTTGATATTTTTATATATTACAAAATGATCCCCATGATAAGGCTGGTTACCATCTGTCACCATATAAAGTTATTACAGTATCATTGACAATATTTCCTCTGCTTACATTACAACCTCATGACTTACCTATTTTTAAAGCTGGAAATTTGTATCTCTCAATCCCCTTTACCTATTTTGACCACCCCCCAAACCTTCCTACCTATAACCAGAAAGATTTAAATGGATTTCCTCATATTATGGTTGAGAAGATCACCTGAAGAAAGATTAAGTAAATCACCTTAGTTCTATCACAGCTGAACCAAAATTAAAGTTTTATCTCTTCTAGAGTATATCCCATTGCTCTTCCCATGTATGAAGCAACGAGTAAGTTGGTCACTAGTGATCTTGGTAAGAACTGTTTCTTTGGAATGAAGGAATCAGTGTATGACTAAGGAGTGAACAGGAGGTAAGAACAGAAACATGAAATAGCAGGCAGTGTATATAACTCCTTTAAGATACTAAACAGTGAAAGAAAAAATTAGATATAGAGGGCTGTGTGGGTTCTAGGATTTTTATTTGTTTGCTTGCTTGTTTAAGGTAGAGAGCCTTAGCCATACTTAGTAATGATGAGAAAGGTCCAGGAGGGTAGGTGGGTAGATTGACTGAAGAGCTGGAAGGAGTGAAGAAGACTTTGGAGCAAGTCTTGAAGAGGCGAATATATAGGATCCATAGCACAGGTGCTGGAATGAGTCATATGGATTTATGGTTCTGGAGCTCAGGTTGGATCCCTGGAGGTAGTGGATTTGGGAGTCAACGGTATATAGAAATGGACAAGATTATCCAGAGAAAATGTACAATATACAAAAAAAAGGGGGGGAGAAGGAAGGAATCTACTTATCTTTTTTTTTTTTTAAGATTTTATTTATTTATTTGACAGAGAGAGACAGCAAGAGCGGGAACACAAGCAGGGGGAGTGGGAGAGGGAGAAGCAGGCTTCCCGCTGAGCAGGGAGCCCGATGCGGGGCTTGATCCCAGGACCCTGGGATCATGACCTGAGCCAAAGGCAGACGCTTAACCGACTGAGCCACCCAGGCGTCCCTGGATTCACATTTCTTTTTTTTTTTTTTAAAGATTTTCTTTATTTATTTGACAGAGACACAGTGAGAGAGGGAACACAAGCAGGGGGAGTGGGAGAGGGAGAAGCAGGCTTCCCGCTGAGCAGGGAGCCCGATGTGGGGCTCGATCCCAAGACCCTGGGATCACGACCCGAGCCAAAGCCAAATGCCCAACGACTGAGCCACCCAGGTGCCCCTACTTAGAATCTTAAAATTCTTCTGAATCCAGCATCTTAACACAAAATAAAAAGAAGTGGGTTTTGGTTTTTATTTTTTCACACTTCAGTTTTTGCTGATACAAAAGGATACATGCTGATACTTGAATAGACTTTTAGGTACCTGTGTACTGTTTACTCAGCTGGAGATTTAATGTTTGTCTTTGAAGAATGTTTTGAGTTACAACCTTTTCTAGAGGAAAGATCTGTATGACACTGAGTTTAGTATCACACACATAAGAGATTTCTTAGAAAGAACCCTTAATAATAAGACTGATTCCTCTGTCAGGTGTGGTTTTAGAAAAAGTCATAATTTTCCTTTACTAGTAGTAAAGCTGCTGTTAAAAAGTGAAAGATATCTTCTAATCTTTGTGCAAATATTTTCACTTTGTCCTGTGGTTGAAAGCTGTTTAATGTTTAGGGTGAAATTTAAAATGACTTAGTTAAAAACTTGGCACGATAGAGCTCAAGCTGGTTATCTTGATTCTTGCTTAAAATACTTAAATATTCTTTCTGTATTACCTTTATGGTGATGAGTTTTATTTTTGTTAATAAATAAATAATAAGGGGCACCTGGATGGCTCAGTCGGTTAAGCGGCTGCCTTCGGCCCAGGACCCTGGGATCAAGCCCTGCGTTGGGCTCCCTGCTCAGCAGAGAGCCTACTACTTCTCCCTCTCGCTCTGCCTGACGCTCTGCCTACTTGTGCTTTCTATCAAATAAGTAAATAAAATCTTTAAAAATAAATAAATAAATAAAAATCTCTCTAATGGAGATCCAAAATACAATGGCTTAACCACATTGGAAGTTTCTCTCACACTTCATGGTAATTCACAGATCAGGATTCCTTTTATTTCATTTTTTCTCTGTTTCCTTAGTTATTATCAAAGCAGAGTTACCACTTTGACTTGAGCCTTGGCCCAAAGCAAGAGGTATTGGGGAAGGAAAGGAAGAGGTTATCGAGCCTGGGATGAGGAAGATACACATATCACTTCTGTTCATATTTCACTGGAAGAAAAATTATATGGCCTACAAAGGGGAAGCTGGGAAATGTAGTTTATAGCTAAGTGGCTGTGTGAGTAGTTAAATTCAATTACTTAAGAATGAATTAGGACAGGGCGCCTGAGTGGCTCAGTTGGTTAAGCAACTGCCTTCGGCTCAGGTCATGATCCTGGAGTCCTGGGATCGAGTCCCACGTCGGGCTCCCTGTTCAGCAGAGAGTCTGCCTCTCTCTCTTACCCTCCCCCCTCTCATGCTCTCTATCTCATTCTCTCTCTCAAATAAATAAACAAAATCTTAAAAAAAAAATGTTAAAAAAAAAGAATGAATTAGGACATAAAAAAATTAAAAAATAAAAAAAAGAATGAATTGGGGCAGTTAGCAGTCTACCATACTTTCTGAATTTTCAGGAACTTTTTTTTTGTCTTTAGTTTGAGAAGGTATGTTAATAAATGCAAATTAATTCTGCCAACTCATGCCATAAATAGGTGAATTCAGCTATTTAATGTATGTAGTTTTTTGGGGTTTTTTAAAGATTTTATTTATTTATTTGACAGAGAGATAGCGAGAGCAGGAACACAAGCAGGAGGAGTGGGAGAGGGAGAAGCAGGCTTCCCGCCGAGCAGGGAGCCTGATGTGTGGGGCTCGATCCCAGGATCCTGGGATCATGACCTGAGCCGAAGGCAGATGCTTAACAACTGAGCCCAGACACTCCTAATGTATGTAGTTTAGATGGTGTTCTTACAACTTATCAAAACATAAAAGTATATCTTAGCAAAACTGTGTTAAAGAATAATAAACCATAAATACTAGATTTCTCATCCATTTAAACTCATTCCTTTACTTCCAGATTTCTCTTGTTTTTTCAGTGGAATTCAGAAAATAATTGCAGCCTTCATTTTATAAAAAATAATATCTCCATAAAATTTTCACCAGAGAATGGATTATATACCTTTAAACTTGGGGTACAGGGAAGGGAAGAAAAGGTGAATTTGCCAAACCTGGATGAATGTTCCTTGAAGCTTCAAAATGAAATAACATACATACATCGTCTAATTATACCCAGAAATCCTTTACAAAAATGCTCAAGATGCTCAGATGCTAGTTAGAAAGGCCCTTTGGGCTTTTGTGTATATGACTAATTCTGTCTACCTCAGGGGCAATGTCCTGGGTTACTCTGCCCCTGTCCACCTGGTGGTGAGATTCCATCCCATACCATGCTTGTCCGCTCTAGTCCGAAACCTTCACATTGGAGATGGCTCCCAATAAGAGACCTGTTGTTCCTCAAACACCTCTTTCGTATGTATAGAAATAGCATCCCAGTGGACTGGTAATTTGGACAGCAACTTTGGGATAAAAAAACTTGTTCTTACAGCAAGCACTACTGACTCTTGTGGTGGCGCAGGTGATCCAGGTGCTGGGTGGCGGGAGTCAACGGCAGCTGTCCCAAGTGGGCCAAATGCTGTGACCTACATAACCTGTCAGCACAGGTGTTAAGGGCTGTTGACTCTTGTTCTAGGATTTGAGTTCACTTTACTCTTTAAAGGAGGGAAATGATAAAATTGCATAGTAGGGGTATAAACTCTTTCTGCTCTTAAATTGATGAAAAAAAGTAATAAAGCCATCTCACATACTTTCTGGACTAGGGCTTAAATGAATAAATTCATGCATATATGTTCAAAAGAAAGTTGAAAATGAAATTGCAAGCAGTTAGTATTTTTAAGAAATAACAATGTCAAATCACTAAGGTTTTTTTGTTTTTGTTTTTTAATATTTTATTTATTTATTTGACAGAGAGAGACAGTGAGAGGGGGAACACAAGCAGAGGGAGTGGGAGAGAGAGAAGCAGGCTCCCCGCCGAGCAGGGAGCCAGATGCGGGGCTCGATCCCAGGACCCTGGGATCACGACCTGAGCCGAAGGCAGACGCTTAACGACTGAGCTACTCAGGAGCCCCATTAAGGTTTTTTTAATCACTAAGTTGTACACCTGACATTAATGTAAATATGTGTCAGCTATACTTAAAAAACTAAACTAAACTGGGGCACCTGGGTGGCTCAGTCCGTTGAGCATCTGTCTTCGGCTCAGGTCATGATCCTAGGATCCTGGGATCGAGTCCCGCATTGGGCTCCCTACTCAGCAGGGAGCCTGCTTCTCCCTCTCCCTGCTGCTTCCCCTGCTTGTACTCTCTCTGTCAAATAAATAAATAAAATCTTAAGAGAAAAAAAAAAAACAGGGGCGCCTGGGTAGCTGAGTCGGTTCAGCGGCTGCCTTCGGTTCAGGTCATGATCCCAGGGTCCTGGGATTGAGTCCCGCATCGGGCTCCTTGCTCAGCAGGGGCTTGCTTCTCCCCTGCCTGCTGTTCCCCCTGCTTGTGCTTGCTCTCTGTTTCTCTCGCTTTCTCTGTGTCAAGTAAATAAATAAAATCTTTAAAAGAAAAACAAGAAGTATAGTTGGTAAGTGGGTGGATAATGCTGGATATATACCCTCATCCTCAAGAAAATGTAAGCACTGACTTCCTCATAAAGACACAATACGTCATGTGGTTTTTTATGATGATAAAACACCATTTTAATCACCTTGTAGATTTAAAACTTGAGCAGTGAGATAATTTAAGAAGACATGTTGCATGGCAGCTTGGAACATTTCTGAAGTTACCGTCCTTGGAGGTGATAAGTGTTGGGGAAAGATGATTCTCTGCTGGTACTTGCTTCTGTATTTGACTTGCCACTGCTGGGAGACCTGTCTAAAATAGACACTGTCAAAATCAAAATCAGATGTCATGATGGGGTGCCTGGGTGGCTCAGTCGTTAAGCGTCTGCCTTCAGCTTAGGTCATGATCCCAGGGTCCTGGGATCGAGCCCCGTATCGGGCTACCTGCTTGGTGAGCCTGCTTCTCCCTCTCCCTCTGCCTGCCACTTCCCCTGCTTGTGCTCTCTCTGTCAAATAAAATCTTTTTTAAAAAAATCAGATGTCATGCATTAGTCTTAATAACATTGTCTGGGCCCCTTCCTACCACACCACCTAGTGAACTTTCAGTATATTAGTTCCCAGTAGTTTCTAAGTAATTGTATTGAATTAGGATCCATTTATTCAGTCATCAGAAATTGATGTTTCCTCATTAGTAAGGTACCTTGCTTGCCCTTCAGGAGCTTGCAAGCTATTTGAGAGACAAATGATAATGACCCCTACCAGTAATTTGATGTGCTGAGTTACGTGAGAGGCCACGTGCAAGATCATGGGCCATCCTTGTGCTCCGTCTTAGCATGAGACTAGCCTATAGGCCTAAACATGGAGTCCACACTGAAAACACTGTTCCTTGCTTGTTATGTGGCTTGGAATAACAGGTGCCTTTTCTATTTTTGTCCCTTTTATATTGTCTCTTTCCTGTTTCCCTCTCCTTACTCTCACCATACTCCTCTCTCCCAGCCATCACCACATTTGTCCAGGTCTTTCACATTTTCTTTGTCTAAATGATTTATTTCCCTGTTTCTCTTCCCTTGGCCTCCAAGAAGTGACAGGTGTTTGGAAACTGATTCCACCATTTACTAAGCAAATTATGTGACCTGCCAAAGCCTCAGTTAACTGATCTATAAAGTGGGTTAGTAGTTACCTTAAAATGTTGTGAAGATTGAAATAAAATACAAAATTTCAGTTGTAAACTCTCATAGATGCTCAGTATTTGTGAAGTGAATGTTAGTTCCCTTCTTACAGCCATATGACTTTGAAGAATTTTTTAAATTACCTAAACTATAAAAAGAGTAGATGTTAATACTTGAAGATTTTTGAAGTGATTTTGTCTCCTTTGCTCTATGATCACATCACATTCTAAGTATAAAAATTTTTTGTCTTGGCCTCTTCATTTATTACAGCTGTGCTGAGATATAATTCATTACTATAAAATTCACCCTTGAAAATATACCATTCAGTGGTTTTAGTATGTTCACAGAATTGTGCAACTATCACAACTATCTAATTTTAGAAAATTTTCATTACTCCAAAAAGAAACCCCCATACCCGTTAGCAGTCCCTCCCTATTCCTTCCTCACCATAACTCCTCGTAACCACCTATCTATGTTCTGTCTGTGTGGTTAGCCTGTTCTGGCCATTTTATATAAATGGAATCAAACAATATATGATCTTTTGTGTCCGGTTTCTTTCACTTAGCATGTTTTCAGGGTTCACCCATGTTGTAGCATGTATTAGAACTTCATTCCTTCTTGTGGCAGAATAATGTTCCACTGTATAGATAGCCTGCATTTCGTTTATCCACTCATCACTTGGTTACCAACATCTGGGTTGTTTCCACTTTGGGCCTATTATGAATAATGTTGCTGTGAACTTGTATTCGAGTACAAGTTTTTACGTGGACATATGTTTCAGTTCTTTTGAGTATATGCCTAGGAGTATAATCTTTAGTTGATAAAAGAATTTTCATTTCAAAGCAGAGAATTCTCATCATGAGAGAACTAAAGGTTCTTACTGAGGGAATTTGGGGTTGTTGGTTTTTTTTTTTTTTTTAAGATTTTATTTATTTGAGAGAGAGAGACGAAGATCGCAATAGCATGAGGGAGATGAGCGAGCACAAACAGGGAGGAAAGGGAGAAGCAGGCTCCCTGCTGACCCTGGGATCATGACCTGAGCCGAAGGCAGCTTAACCTACTAAGCCATCCAGGCACTCCTGGGATATTGTTTTCTATACTGGTTCCTTAATATTGAAGTTTTTTGTTCCTTGAAGTGCTTGGCTTGTCATAGAAACCAACAAAAAAAGCAAGTCTTTTCTGACAGGATGAGAACAAATGCCCCTAGCATAATAAAAGATGCTTGTATTAGCATAAGGTAACAAAATAACTGGCAAATCCTCCTTTATTCTTACCGAAACAATTTATTCTATTCGCATTCACTTTACAAAGTACACTGCAGGAATCAGAAGGAGAAAACCCTCCTAAAAGGATGCAAATTAAGGAAAAGTTAGATTAACATGAACTCATTTCATATGTATCCTATCTTCTCCAGAGCATAAGCTTTTAGAGTGAGGGTAAGAACGTTTCCTGTTCTCTGAGCTATCTCCCTTCCCAAACAAAACTGAACTGAAAGGGAAGAGGAGGGGTCTGGAATGATGTCTCCATTCAGTTTAGGAGCAGGCTTTAAGCACTGCATTTACGTTTATAGAAAACTGGAAAGGGGGAAAATGTTTTTGATATGGAACTCACCATTGAGCATCATACGGTCAGTCACACAGAGGTCACTAATCATTCTTTTTCTTGTTTTTCAGTGAACGAGATAATTGGGAGAGACATGTCCCAGATTTCTGTTTCCCAAGGAACAGGGGCGAGCAGGCAGGCTCCCCTCCCGGGTCCCGATTCCCTGGATATAGGAAGATCTGATGGGCTCTGACAGTGCTCACTGCAGCCATGTGTCCACCACCATGTACTTCTCAGCATGTTTCTCTCCTTGGACGTTGGGTTTCCAACTCTGTGGCCTTCAGGACTGGCACCAGGAGTTGGGATCACTATATGTGGGGAAAGCATTCCTGCACCTCAGGCCTTGGGTAGATTTTGTAAAAGAACAGGAGCAGCATAGACTGAGCTTTGGGGAAATGAGCTTTGCTTTTTATATTTAAATAGGATACTTTTATATGATGGGTGCTTTGAGTGTGAATGCAGCAGGCTCTCCATTTCAGAGGTGCTGCTTTTGCAAGTGACCTGGTTGCTTAGCTATGATTGGTGATTTGTACTCCTTTATGGTCATTTGAAGGACTCTTTAGCTTTGATGATATTTTTAAAGTAGGAACTTTTGATAAAACCTTCCAGAGGCAAACATGAAAGAAAAAAAAAAAAAAGTTAAGTCCACACCTATGCCTCAGAAACTTAGCTTGTCCTAAAGCCTTTCATAGATTTATAGGAAATAAAGCCAAATGTAGCTCATACCTCTTTATAAAAGTAAACTGTTAAAGTACGAAGAGACCATTCCAATCATTAACGTGTTGGAATATAAAACATTCCAGAGCATAGCCTTTTTGTAACTTTCTAGGTAATCTTCCTGCAGTCTCTCCATACTGACTCCATGTTGAAATTGCTTTTTTCCCTCAGGGCCTTGGATAAGATAGCTCCATGTAAGGTGACTTTGAAAGGTGGGTTTTTTAGCTTGGTAGCTTTAATATCCTGCCATCCTGCAAACAAGTCAGCTGTGGAGTGCTTTTCCCTTTTGTGTCCTCTGGTCCCAGGCCTTTTCTAACTGGGAGTATCTGCATTTGGCTGTTCTGTAACCTTTGAAGTCACAGCCTCATGATGGTTTAGGCAAATCTGCTGGTTCTATCTCATCTCTAGAGGCCAGGCTGTGTCAGAAGCTAAGCACAAATGAGCTATATGCTTCAGAAGAGCAGAGAAAATACAGGACTCCAGAAGGGAAGCTTTTAAGATTCACAAGTGCATGGAAGGTTTATCCGTCATTCTGTTTACAGCCTAAAATGATTCTGGCCTACCCTCGTACCATCTGCATGGCCTAAAAACCATCCTTTTCCCCAAAAGGCTTTGAGGCAAACCCAAACAAGAGGTAGCATCATAGACCTGACCCTCCACACCAAAGATGCCCCGGTGCTGCTGCTGGTGAGGCTGGTGCCCAGGGCAGGTGCCAGCAAGAAACTCCAGCCTGCTGTCTACCAAAGGAGGTGCCCCAGTTGGGTGCTTTTTCCAAACCCTGCCCTTCCACCTCCCTTTAATGGGATTAGTACCTATTCCAAGGCTGGGCCCATTTCAAAGCACCTGAAGTTTGCAGTGTGTTTCCAATTGAAATCATGTAATTTCATTTATTCAGGAAGGAAATTTTTTGAGTGCCTATATGCGCGACAATGTGCTGAGCTGGTCAAGGGCTGGATGTTGTTACTCCAGGGGATTATGAGTCCTAGATGCCAGGACTCTCTATTGAGGCCAAGTAAGGCCCGGGCAGGGGGAGCTGGCTCATTGCCTACCACCTCTAGTCAGCCAGGTAGGAGCTGTTGACCTCCTACAGCATAAAGAAGTATGGTCTTTTTTTCCCCCTTCAAACCATGATTTATATTTTTCCCCTAAACCTAGTTAGAGCAAGATGTCTATCCTTCAGCAAATCACTCTGGTCCCTCCTGGAGCTGGGTGTTTTCCTGTTTTCTTTAAAAGTAAGTTTTGTGTCAGAGTGTGGATAGTGAGATTTGCTTCAGGGCCTGTAGTTGGCAGCCCACCGCTTCCTTTGGAGGGGGCTTCGAGAGGCGGCCCCTGACAGGAAGTTCCAGACAGCTGGCCGGACTTGCCTCCACCCTCTTGCCCCTGGGGTAGCTGCCTCATATGGGGTTCTTGCAAGAGTGCCCCTTGCAAGACCCTTTGGGGGTTGCTCTGCTGCCTTCAGGAATAAAAGCCTCTATGATCCAGAGTTGCTATGCACCAAATTTTGATGCCTTTTAAATACCTTGATGCCTGTAGCACTAGAAATGCTTTCCTATTTAAAATAAAAGTTCAATTTGAAAAGAGCTTTGTATAATACATAAGCAGTCTTGTATCATTTTGTAAAGTCTTTGGTTTAAGAATCAGTATTTTTTCGCTTTGCAGGTAAAGACTTTAAACTTCTGTGCCATGTTAAGTGGCACTAAAGCACACGTTCACTGGACTATGCAAATTGACTTCTAGTAGCAACACTGAGCAGCTGGGCCTGTCTTAGCACCTACCCTACCCCTTCCAACCTGTGCTACATCTTGGTTTGAGGAATGGGATAAGCAGCCTTTACTTACTAGAGATACAGAGAGAAACACGGCTGAGAACAGCTCTAAAGGGACTAGATGTCCTGTCTTCGGTTCACGTGCGGTGCTGCTGCGTGCAGTGCAGTCCACCCCTGCCCGGGGCTAACCACTGTCACCAGGGCCCTGGTGGGTCAGGCCAGGAAGCCCTGGAGTGGTGGTGGTGGTGTTCCAAAGACTGATTTATTTTAGGGAGCAGGGAGCGAGGGGAGGGAGACCCCGAGATCACCTGAGCCGAAACCAAGAGTGGGACGCTGAACCTCCTGTGCCACCCAGGCACCCCCACCGCACCGGACTTGGAGCCCTGCTTTTAATAATCAGAATAGATGGTCATCTTCAAGGCTCCGATGGGCTCAAGTTGAAACCTTCTATTTTATAAAATGGGTGATAGCTAAGGGATTGGTTCCGTGTTTACAGCACGTAGAATTGTGTTTTTTTTACACACTTTGTATTTGAAAACCTTGTATAGGAGTCTAGTGCTCCTTACACAACGTAACAAAGGGGAGAGCCAGCAATTCATGGTTCCTCAGTTACAGGGCTGAAATAAACGGTGACAGGTTAACAGTGTCCTGGAAATCCGCCTGAGTTTACCTCTGCCCGGGGCAGGTGTGGAACCCCACACTCTGGGGTCCAAAGCTAAGGGCACTTTGGCTTTTAAAAAGTCCACTTGGTTAGGAACCTTTGTTTATTTTACGGAGGAGTGAGTAGAGTTCCAAATTCCTTCCGAAACTTCAGTTCTGTACCCTCTAATGGGTGCAAAGGACATTCCACGATGTCTGCTGAGTTCAGGACAACTGGCCTGCCCAAGGTGTGCATAAAAAGTAGGCAGAAAGTCTTTAAAATTCAAGCCTGAGTTTTTCTGTGAGGGCCTCCTGCCCCCTAGTGTCCTCTGGGGATATTGCAGTGCAGTCCATCAAAATAGCCTGTGATTTTGCCACCTCATAGTCCTTGTGCCAAGCTGGAGGAGAGCTATTACCCTTAGACCCAAGGCACAATGTGGCCACTAAGGGTCAAGTATCCTGGGGGCTGGGGCCAGCGTTCTCTGCTTCCCTGCCCCCTGCAGAAGGGAAAGGGGAGGGCAGAACACTGGGATCTTTACACAGAAGCTCCCAGGAGTTATACGTTGAAGGCACCAGGGCTTACATTTTTTAAAAAGCCAGCCAGCCTGCTATGGACATCAGCCCCACAGATTCTGTGGGTATGGGGCACAGCCAAAACTGACCAAAGGCTCTCCTGGTGCTATTCAGAGAGGCCCGGATCAGGCCATCGGGAGGAGGGTAACACCATTCCACCCCCAGCCCTGCATGCAGGGTCCAGCCAGCAGCTTTGGGGTGACAGGCAGAGCAAAAAGCGGGAGATGGAGCTGGGGCTTGAGCTCCTCTAGGTGCTTTCTGAGAGCTCTGACAAGCCCAGAAAGCAGCCACCTGGTTGAGGGTAGTGGTTCTCTGGATGCCGAGACAGACATGATAAGACAACAGCCAGCTCTTACCTCCTGGCTCCCTCACCTACAAACACACCCACTCTTTGGGGGCCTGTAGCACAGTGCGAGGCAGGTCACCAACAGGCATCAAACTGGTGTAGTCATCAGGGGCTAACTGCAGAAGGGACAGAGATTTAGGGGAGGGAGCTCCAGGCTCAGCCAGGTTCCCAAGCCCTCCAGCCACACCTCACCTGATAGGCCTGGAAGACGCTGAGGAGATCCTTCATACCAGCTGTATATGGGACACCCTGCATACGGACCAGGGCTCCTGGCTGGGACAACACTGAGGTGGAAGCAGAGGCCAGGGCAGCAGGGGGTGTGGTGAGGTAGCCCACAGTGGTGGGGGAGACAGGGGGGCTAGGACGGGAGAGGCAGGGATTTAGGAGTGCAGTCCCACCTATGGCCTAGACCAAGACCCACCTCACTCTTCCCTTGTCTCCACCTTGTGCTTAGTTCAGTTCCTCCTCCCTAAAACCGCTGTCTCCAGAGTCCTCCCCATTCTAATTTGTCGCCAGTATCCTCCATACCGTACCTGTCACTCCCTTGTCCATCTTAGATTAAGTTGCAGCTCTTAACAGACCTTGGATCATCTGGCCCAGGAAGGGGACCATGACCCTCCGTCACACCAGAATGGGGGCAAGACTGGGGGGTTTTCTTAGCAGCTGGTACCTGGGGTAGTAAGCTGTGTAGTTCATGTAGAGTTGAGCGGCTGGCCCTGGGTAGTAGGCAACAGGGGTAGGGGCAGCAGGTACCCTGGCTGCTGGGAGCAGTGCTGAAGAGGGGTACAGAGCGGCCGTCTCAGCGGGAATGAGCGCTGGGGTGGCCTGGAACGTGGCGTAGGTGGGTGGTGAGAGGCCTGGAGGCAGAAGTAGAGAGTGCATCTGCAGGGAGCCCAGCACTGCCCTGGGTGAGGCAGCAAGAAGAGAGTCCCCACTGTAGAAAGCGAGGGTTATAAGAGCTTGGCCCCTACATGCCTCCTTTCCCAGCCCCTGGGACACTCACAGGGCAGCTTGCAGGGTGGAGGGGACATGCCACTGCGGCCCAAGGTGCCCCCCATTAGCACACGGCTCATCTCCTCTGTGGAGCAGGGGACCACTTCCACATAGCGTTCCTTCATCACTTTCTTATGGCAACGCTGAGCAGCAGCTAGGGCCCGTTCTGCTGATGTCATCTGGATGAAAGCATCGCCCGATGGCCGGCCCTGTGCACACGGTGGTCTTGTGACCAACCCGTCACGCGCTAGAGGGCCTCACTCCCAACCCCCCAGCCCTTCTCTAACCATGCAGGTCTCCCCACCGGCAGCAGCCTCACCTGCTGGTTGAGCACCATGTGCACACCGTGGGGCCGGATGTCAGCAGCTGCCTCCCCCAGAAAGCTCAGGATGTCTTCGATGGTGGCTGTGTAGGGCAGGCCTCGAAGGCGCACACAGTCTCTCCCAGTCCCAGTGGCCAGTGGGAAGGGGATGGGGAGCAGGGGAGCGGCGAGTGCGGGCAGGAGAGGGCTGGATGCATAGCGGTTCAGGACCTGGCCAGGAAGGCAGCAACAGGCCGGTGATGCCAAGTAGGGCGGGGGTACAGGGGGTTGGAAGGGGTCCCCGGGAGAAGCACATGGGGGGAGGGGGGACCTGGGTGCTCACCTGCTGCACCTCAGCCGCAGTGCTCCGGAAGAGTTCAATGTATCGCTTACCCAGCATGCCCTTGTGCCTGCGCAGCGCAGCCTGTGCCAGGTCCTCACAGGCAAAGAGGGCAAAGGCGTCACCGGTGGGCCGGCCGTCAGGGTGGCGCACAAAGAGCAGCCCATCCGCACCCCCCGTCACCGGGCACTCGGGCCCCAGAAAGCCTAGCACATCCGCCGGCCCAGCCGAGAAGGGCAGTCCCCGTAGCCTCAGTATCACTTGGTCTTCCCGGGACAGGAACCGAGCCACCTCTAGTGATGTGCCTTGGTGAGAGGCATGGGAGTCACCTACTGACTTCATTTGTGCCCTTCCAAATACCCAGCTACACCTGGCACGCAGGGGCGCAGAAAGGCGGGGGGGGGGTGGGCAAGGGGGGACACAGTCAAGAGCCAGGGGAGCCAGGTGTGGTTGGGAGCACTCACCCCCTGCGATCTTGACAAACTCTTCTCCTGTTGCTTTATACACCTGTGGGGACAGTGGGGATAGCCCATGGATCTCCAGCCCGGGGGGGGGGGGGGGCCTCAGCTCCGCCCTGCTTCACTCCCAGCCCGAAGCCCCACCTCAATATAGCGGACGCCCATGTGGTGCTTGTGTCTCTGCAGCGCTAGGTCCCGCTGCTCGCTGTCCACAAAGCGGATGAGGGCCTCGCCGTTTCTGCGGCCCTGGGCGTTGAGGCAGAGCGCTACACCTCCCCTGCAGAGCCAGGGCTTCGTCAGCGCCTGCTGGGCAGGCCTGCCCTCCCGAGCCCACCCACCGTGCCGTACCCACCTGGCAATGTTGAGTCCCTTGAAGAACCGAGCCACATCCTGGTCTGAGGACTGCCAGGGCAACCCACGGGCCCGAACCACAGTCTCACTGTCCACCGCATCGGCCTTGCTGCTGTGGGGGCAGGGCACAGTCAGAGCGGTCCAGCTCTTGGCGCCCCCCACCCCTGCCCCCACACTCACCAAGGACCTGTCTCGTATTTCTGCTTTACCACCTCTGCCTTCGAAAACAATTGACCTGAGAGGAGATGGCATGGGGGTCAGCAGGGTCTGGTGGAGGGGGGGGTCTCCCCACCAAGCTCTGCAAAAAGAGGACAGTTGAAGGGGATAAGGAGGTGACAAAGGAGCTTCTACCTGTGGTCTCTCAAAGAAGGTTAACAAGTGGGGACGGCGACTTTGAGGAAGTAAGAGGCAGACATTCACCCAGTCCTGAGAGCGGGTGACAGGTGGTGAGGGGAACCTTACCACTGGGCCCTTCAAGCAGGTGGAGGATGACAGCTACCATCGTCTTCACTTCCCAGACCCCAAAGTCATCCTCTGTGGCATCTGTCTCCAGCCCCAAGTCTATGAGCAGAGAAGTAACAATAAGGAAATCCCAACATGAGAGACAAACACGTTTGTTCTGATCCAGCTCATATATGCCTGTACAAGTCCCCATCCCAGACATGGGCAGACGTATGTCCCTATTTCAGACACACCCCAGCAAAGACACACAGGCATGTGTCCTCAAGGACTTGGCAGATAACGAAACCTGGCATTTGTTTGTATAGTCCTCCAGGAGGCACATCCTCAGGAACAGCCTACAGCTTCCCCTCCACCCCAGCCCTTCTGGGTCACCGATACCCTGTGCCATGGTGGCCACGGTGAGCTCCCTGGCAGGGCAGGCGCTTGGGTGCTGCACATGGAACTCTCTGCGGAGGTCGTAGAAGGAGAAGAAGGTGTCGGGGAGCACCAGGTTCTGGGGGCACATGGGAGTGGGCATGAATTGGGGGGAACTGAGCTGCCCTTCCCGCCCCCATGACAGGGGTCCTGGGAGCCCTACCCCCTGTTGTGCCCTCAGTGGCATACCTTCCTGGAGGCCTCGGGGTGCAGGACCTGTCGCAGCAGCTGCTGCCCATCAGTGCATAGCATGTAGGGGCCCCCGCCTAGCAGAGCCACATCCCCGCTCACCAGCTGTGAGAACTGGGGGTAGGGAGTGAGGAGAGAGACAGACACAGACTCACAGCTGGGCGGGCAGGAGGGAGGGCACAGGCTGCAAAGCTGGTTCAGCTAGATGTTCAGCCCTCCCCTGCCTGGGGAGAAGTTGGCCAGAGGCGGGGGCCTGGTTCTGTGTCCCTTTTCTCCCCCAGTCCGCTGTCACCTTCTCCAGGCCAAATGGGGGGGGGCAGTCACATATCACCCAAGCCCCCATCACACACACTCCCAAGAGCCTGGAGTGGGGCCAGAGCAAACACCTGGTGGAGTGGGACAAGCAGGTGGGAAGGGGCGGGGCAAAGCAGGTTAAACCTGTCCCTGACCAGGCACCACCCTCAGACAGGTGGGGGAGGCCCAATCCTGCCTGAGGCCCAGCAGGCTCATATGAGGTCAACGGCAGCCCCGCCTCTAGGTCTGACCAACCGAGGGGCAGAGAAAATCCAAGGACAGAGCTCCACACCTGGACGCCAGGGGCAGCATGAGCTTTGACCCACACCCTATCGACCGGCTGGCACTGAACTGTTTGCTCACAGAGGGGGTGGCACTTCTCAAGCTGCCAGCCCCGCCCCCCCAGCCTTCCTCCGTGCTGGAGAACAGGTAGAAGCACTAGGCACAGGCCCAGAGCGAGCCAACCCAGTTCTCCTTCAGCACACTCCCCAAGTAGGGTCTAACCTGGGAGCCCTTCTGCAACAGGACCAGGTTCAACACCTTTGTACCTCATCAAGAACCTCCCAAGTTGTTGGAAAATGAAACGATCTGCGCCTGTAAAGCACTTAAACTCATTACACTCGAGAGTCAGGCACAGGGTGAGTGCAGCAGCGGAGGTAAGAAAAAAGAAAACAGCTCAGGAACCGCCTCCCACTTCAGCCAGAGCTGGGAGGCACCCAGGGCCTTTGCACTCAGGAGACAGGTAGCCTTCAGGCGGGGTCCGGACAGCGCCCACGCCTGGCCAGCCGGCCGGGACAGGCCTAGACGAGCAAGCTTACACCTGGCGGCGTCCGCCTCGGAGGCAGACCCGCCCTACGCCCCCGCTCCAGCGTCTCCTAGGCGGGTGGGTGGGCCGAGGTCGCCGGCGGCAGGGACCGTGACCTATGGCCAGGACCGGGCCCCTCGGCCCTTTTGGCTTCCGACCGCTGTTCTGGGAGACCTGGCCAGGCAGGTTCCCAGAAGCGTCTCAGCCTCACAGCCCCGCCGGCCCTGGGAGGGGTCTCGCAGCTTCCATCCCACCGCGTCAGTAGGAGTGGATGCCTGGAAAGGCTGAAAAGTAAGGTGCCCCCAGGAAGGGCCGGCACACGCGGGAATCTCTGAAACTTTTAAACAACAGGAACTCGTCCTACAGCCCGGGCCAGTTGGTCGCAGCACGCCAGGCCTTGCCTCCTGCCGCCTCTCCGGCTGAGAAATGTCCCCGCGGCCCGGCCATGCCTCCACTCACCCGGGCCCCAGCACTCACCTGCTGCAGCACCTTGTCCAGCGGCTCGGCCCGCGCCAAGCTGTCGGCGCTCAGGCCGCTCGCCTCGCGGCACTGCGGGCTCAGTGCGGCCGCCTCGGCGCGAACCAGTGACTTGTGCAACGTCCCCACCTACGAGCGGCGGGGGAAACCGGTCAGCCACTGCTCCCCTCGGATCCTGAAACTCCCTGGGGACCCCAACCCCCCTCCCCCCCGCCTCACCGTACCTGACGGCTCCGCGGCTCCACCACTTGCCAGACTAAGAGGATCAAGTCGGTCTCGTCGGAGCCCAGGTCCGGCCCCAGCGCACCAGCCGTGGCTCCGAACAGTACGACCAGGGGTCCAGGCCCCAAGCGGGGGTCGGCGGCGGAGTCTGAGATGGGGTTGGGGCCCGGGGGCGGCGGCTGGGGAGGCGGCGGAGTCATGGCCGCAGAGGAAGGGGGCGCTCGGCCAGACACACGCGGACCGACGAGGCGCACGCACGCACCCGGCCGACGGCAGACACGAATCAGCTTGGGCGGGACACCGTGTGTCGGGGGCGGCACCTGCGGCCCGGCTGGCGCAGTGGGCGCTGCTGAGACCCGCCCGCGGCGCCCCGTGGGGCGGGGCGGCTACTGGCCCCCGCCCTCTCCGGGCGAGTTACCTGTCGGCCCCGCCGGCCACGTGACCGAGGCCGGCCCCGGGGAACAGAGGGGGAAGGCCGCTAGAGCCTCGCCCGGAGCGCGCGCGCTCAGACGCCGGGCCTGGGTGCGCGCTCACGGCCCGGACTCCCACTCCATCAGAGGGCCTTGCCCTACTCGATCTCGTCCTCTTCTCCGTCCCGCCCCACCATGAGGCCGGCGCCAAGAAAAATGCAAAAACAGGGGCCTTCTGCAGTCCACAGGGGTCACATGGAATTTGTGAAAATCACCAGGAGGCAGTCTAGGGGCTTTGGGGGTCACGACGGCCGGCCGGGGGATGATAGAAGTCACCAAAGAGGGCGGTGAATTACTGGCTATCACCCAGAGGCCTGGGGGGAGGTGGTCACCAGAGGCCAACTGGGTTGGGGGGGGAGGGTCGGGGATCAGCAGAGGTTCTTAGAGCGATGAGGTCGGGGGACGAGAGGTCACGGGGCAGGGCTTGTCCACACACGTGTGAAGACCTGGCCTTAGCCTGGCTCCGGGATGTGCCCGCGGTGCCAAAACAATAGGTGGTGTGCAGGCCTCGGTGCTGGGGAAGCAGGAAGCGCCCCGCTCCAACTCCAGAGAGCGCCTCTAGACGGGGCTGAGCCCGATGGTCCGGGCCCGGAGCCTCACCGCTACCCCACGTGGAGGCCGCTGCCTGTTTTCGTCGCCCTCCCCGCCTGACGACGGGCCCGTTGCCTGGAGATGTGAGCGCGCCGGCGGGTGGGGGCTAGCGGCGAACGTGTGATGTGCGCGTGCGGGCTGCATATCCTCCATCTCGTCTCCATGCGAGACCAGGGACTCAGTAAGGACAGTCCCGCATGGAGGGCTCCCAACACCCTTTCGCCCCGTCGTGCTTGGTGAGGCTCCTTTACGGCGCGTTTCCAGGCCGCGCCGGACTTCCCTAAGTGCTCCCCTTCATATGACTGAGAAACTGAAGAACCCGGCGGGAAGAAAGGACGTAGGGTTGCCAAGCCCGCGCGGACACTGAAGCTGGAGCCGCACCTCGCGCTTTCGGAAAAGCTGGGCGCTGCGTCCGGATGTTCGGACGATGGAGAAAGAGCCCGGTGGAGGGGGAGCTAAGGAGGCCTTGCCCATTGAACCCACACTTCATCGCGTCCCTACTTCACTATCGGATAAAGAGACCGAGGTGCCCAGTAAGGGCCGGGACTCGGCGGTCTGCGGGGAGTGCGAAAAAGGTGTTCCAGCAGCCTCGGGTTACGAGCGCTTCCTCGGGTATAGGCGGGGGCCCGCCCCTTTCCGGACCGCCCACTCCGGCGCCTGCCCGCTGGTCCCCACCCACGGAAGCGCTAGGCCAATCAGGCCGGGTGGGAGGGGGGAAAGTCGCTCTTCGGGTCCAGCTCCGCTCTAGATAAGCCTGGAATGTCAAATATTTGTTTGGGGGTGGGGCCCAACAGTGAAGTAAGGCTCCTCCCCTGCCCAGCCTGAAGCGCGCGTGCGCCTGGCGGAGTTGGGCCTTCATCCACGCCTTTGCGGCCAACGCCTCCTCACCCTAGGGGCTCTCCTAAAACTCCTTGGCGAGCATCCCTCCTTGTCGGGCTCCTGTCTGGGCTCCGGCTTCTACAGGACAGTCCGGCGTCACCACCTTGCCATCTGAGAGCTAACTCGATCTCGGTCTCAGCCTTCCCGGAGCCCCCATCCATTTAACCTCTAGACCTTCACGCTAGGCCCTTCCCTATTCTTCCTTCAGCGTGGGTCTCGAGGTCAGGTCTTCAGGGAAGCCGCCTTCTTGAGGTGACCTCTCCAGTGTGGCATCTCGAGCCATCCTGGCAGCGTGGGGGCAACTCCGCCCATCTCCAACCGCATGACAATTCCCGATGCTTGGACTCTTCTTGAAAAACTAAATTCATTAAAATAACGCTAGAGCCCCTGCTTTGCTGAGCTCCTTTACTCATCTTCAGATGGATCCTCCCAGATCACAGCATTAATACTAAACAACCCTCACTCCTTTCCCCCAACACTAAAGTAACTTCATAATAAATGACAATAAATCATTTATTGTGTCCTTACACCACATCCGCCCTGAACTCAGATCCCGGAGGACAGGCTCATTCCCAGGGCTTATCATTGCGCCTGGCTTGTAGTAAACTTGCTCAAGACTTAATGAACGAATGAATGGTTGTCTTAAGTGCTTTGTTTTGCATCATCAGCCTAGTAACTTTCAGCACTAGTAACCTTCCCTGGGGCTACCGGTCTTTTCCTCTAGGAGTCTCATCTGAGCTCTTTCCTCCCCTCCCAACCCATCCCTTGTCCTAGTTAACCCCTGCTCTTCTTCCAGATTTTCTCTGAAGGTACCTCCCTCTGTAGCAGGGGCCCCCACTGTGGTATGAGATTTCCTGTATTTCACTGGGCAGTGTCCCCCACCCCAACCCAGCTACTAGGGTTCATAAATCGTTAATGAATGAATTGAAGATAACATACGTGAAAGGGGTGAGCAAGGCTCCAAAGGTCCAGCCCGTAGCGTTTCCCAAACTATAATTCAGGTACTTGGGGGAAAGGAACTTGGTCCTGTGATCCAGGCCACATACTCGCGGAATCCCATCCTTATCTCAGCCCCTCGAGGCCTGCTATGGAGGCAACTGGCGCTCCAGCAGCTCCAGCAGCGGGTACGTGAAGGTCGGCGCAGATACCGGGTGGGGGTCCTCATGGGGGCCCCGGAGTGTGGCCGGTCATTTGGACCTGCAGGGCGTCCAGGAGTGGTGTAAAAGGGCCCTCTTTCCCTCCCAGGCCAGAAAATATCCCACTGTGGGAGAGGATTCTACGCTGGATGCCTTGTGGGATCCACTGCGGCGATCTACACTCGCCGGCTCAGGCCCATCCACACCCTCTGCGGCCCAGTGGACCGCAACTTGACCATCCGCAGCTACCCTTATCTCCTGGGCCTCCAGTGCCAGCGCACTGGGTTCCACCCAGGTTCCCAGCTGCGCGCCTTTGCCGAATCTTCGCTGAGTACCCACCAGAGGGCGCACTGACCCTGTCGCCCGAACCAGGCGTTGGGGGCTGGGAGGAGGAACTTGCACAGGAGAGCCCAACCGGGGGCAATGCTCCAGGACAGAAGTGAAAAGAGAAGGGCCTTGAGGCCGCCTCCCTCTGGTTTGAGCATCTTTGTGGCTCCTGGCTTCCTGGACAGAGGCCGTTTTTAAGCTTGGTTTTCAAGACCTCCAACCTCTCTGTTCCACTCCCACCCACCCTGTGCCCCAGAGACACTTACTGTGATTGTTCAGGTCTCCAGGCTGTTGCACATACTAAGCTCCCTACCTGGAGCACCCACCCACCTACTCATCCCTTTGTTTTCCTGGCAAATTCCTACTCATTCTTCAAGATCCATCTCGAATGATTCTTCTTCCAGGTAACATTCGTTGATGACTAAGCCAGGTTAGATAACCTGTTCTGGGGGCGCCTGGGTGGCTCAGTCAGTTGGGTGTCTGCCTTCAGCTCAGGTCATGATCCTGATGAGGAAGCAGAAGGCTGGCTGAAGACAAAGCATAAGCTGACACTCTGCAACCACCCCCCATCCCCCCCTCCTGGGTGGGACATATGTGACATTCTTCCAGGAATCTCCCAACTATCTTAATGTTAATGGCTTGCTAGAAGGGAAAAACAACCTTAAGTTGACAATGGCAAGGCCTCCAGTATCTTGTAGGTCCTCCTTAGCATATGAAAGTTCTTTTTCCTTACCGCCCCCCAACCCCATAGTACATTATCAGCCACCCCTCACACCCGGTGCTGCAGCTCTTTCTGCCCACGGTCCTGTTGCTGTGCTTTAATAAACCAGCATTCCGCACCAAAGACGTCTCAAGAATTCTTAGTTGTTGGGCGCCTGGGTGGCTCAGTCGTTAAGCGTCTGCCTTCGGCTCAGGTCATGATCCCAGGGTCCTGGGATCGAGCCCCGCATCGGGCTCCCTGCTCCGCGGGAAGCCTGCTTCTCCCTCTCCCACTCCCCCTGCTTGTGTTCCTGCTCTCGCTATGTCTCTCTTTGTCAAAAAAATAAATAAAATCTTAAAAAATAATAATAATAATTCTTAGTTGTTGGCTCCAGACTCCACCCCACTGAACCTAACCTATATTCCAAAACCCCATCGATCCCAGGACCCTGGGATCAAGCCCTGCATCCGGCGCCCTGCTCAGCGGGGAGCCTGCTTCTCCCTCTCCCTCCCGCTCCCTCTGCTTGTGCCCACGCTCTCTCTGTGTCAAATAAATAAATAAAATCTTAAAAAAAAAAATAGATAACCTGTTCTGTCATGATTTGGTCAGTGTTTGGCTCTGGCATCAGAGGAATAGGAGCCTGATGAACTGTGAGCTTTAGGGAGAATCAGTTGGCCTCCAAGTGGGCTCAGCTCTGGCTTAGAAGCCATGGTCTTGGTTGGGTTGCCCGAAGCCCAGGCACCCACCTGGTCCAGATAGGGCAGCTTGGAACTTGTGCGAGCAAGAGGGAATGCAAAGGGCCCAGTGTAACAGAGAAAGGGCAAAGGCTGTTGGCTGGATTCTCATCTGAGGCAGATAGCACTACCGGCCTGTGGACCTCTCAGTCCCTTATCTCCTTCTCCAGGTCTGACAGGCACCAACCAGGACCATATCCTGAAAGGGGAAAGTGTTAAAGAAGGGGGTGTATCACTCAATCATTCAGTATATGTTAAGCACCTGCTGTCTGCCTGGGACTGTGATGATGATACCCAGTAACCAAGAAGGCAGTTGCACCAGTAACAGGCAGGTGAAGGCTTCCTCTTCCATGGATTATATTCCGCTGGGAGTCAGGCAGGAGCTGCTTCAGAATCAATGGTCATGTCTGGTCTGAGGCCTAAAGGCAGAGCTCAGCTGAGTCCCCAAAACTGGGAGCTGCAGAGTGATCCCAGGGCAACAAGTGCAGAGGTCCAGAGCAAGAATGAGGTTGTCCTGTTCTAGGCAGCGAGGAAGCTGCTGAAGGTGGAGACAAGTGAGCTGAGGAAGAGGGGAAGTGAAAGTTGTGGGAAAAGTCCAGAGTCGCCTGCAGGCTCCTCATTCACTATGAGTGAGATGCCTATGATGCATTCAGTAGGGGCATTGTGAGTGGGGTTAGGCGGACAGTGATGGGCCTGATTTAATGTTTAATGGTGTCAACCCCATGGAGAACAATCCATAGGAATAAGGGCATAAATTGGGACATGAGCAAGGAGACTACTATGGGGATGAAAGTAGTTTGGCTTCGGGAAGGTAGAGCGGGTAAGACTTGGTGACCACCTGGTTGTGGGGTCTGAGAATCAGGATAGTATCTAGATTCCAGGTCTGCAGCCAAGGGGGATCATGTGGATGGCAAGGTCATTGTGAGAAGGGGGGATCCTTACCTTCTGATTCCTCTCCTCTCCACAGTGCCAGCACAGATCATTGCTGACTAGGTCTTGACATCCTCACCCCGCAATGGCTGTGGTTCCTATCATCCGCAGGGCCTGTGGAACTGAGACACCCTGTGAAGGGTCCATGGTCACCTGAGGCTGCTGGGCTGACAACACATTCAGACTGGCCACAGTCCAAGGCAGCCCAGGCCATCCTGATGCCTATCCTCCCTCCACTTAACCCTTGACTATGGACTCCTGCCTGTCCCTAATACCGGCAAAAGGATGTCTATGGTCTCCCACTGTGGACCTGCACTAGATTGGTCCTTAGCAACCCCTCTTTCTGGGGGCCAGGATGGAGGTGAGGGAGTCAGGGTTTGGGGTCCTTGCCAGGGCCTGAGGGAGATAGTTGGACCTTAAGAGAGTAGTGTACCCCAACCACCAATATGTTTCCCTATAAGAACACAGGAGGGGCAGGCCAAGAGGGTGAGTTGATTCATCCAGGAGTACTCTGAAAGGCTAGAAAGGGTCAGCCATTGGCCAAGAGGAAGGAAGGAAGGAAGGAAGGGGTGGGCTAGAAGTCTTAAGACCAGGGGATGATCAGGGTGTTGTCTGGCCCTCAGGAGGAAGTGTGTGGAGGATCAAGACTTTCTGTCTCCAAACATACTGGTCTCTGTATCCTAGAGTGACCCGTGGTGCTGGTCATATCGCCAGCTGTCAAATCTGCCCATTCTGTTTGCCTCTGATTCCTCCAGCAGGGAGTCTGTGTCCTCTCTGGATCCCCAGTTTGCGTGTAGTGGGAATGGTAGGTGGACTCCAAGGTCACAACACCTGTCCTGCTCTGCTGGGGAATCTGCCAATGGGCCATGGTCATAGGGTTGAGGTTCAAATCCACTTTCTCTGGGGCACTAGAACTGCTCAGTCTGGAGAGGTGACTCCATATTGCCCGAAACTAAAACTTTAGGCGGGGCAGCCCTCACACCTGGCCTCTACCTGTCCCACCCGCATTCCTAATCCCTGGACAGACGCAGGGCGCCCCTGGACCCCTTGCTTGAACCCACGTGCCGTCGGGGCAGGGTGTGAAGAATCGGTGTGGGGTCTGCACAAAGGTCCTGGTCAGCTCCCGGTCCCCTAAGGCCCAATAACTTTCCGGGATTCACTTCTCCTCTTCTTCCCCTTGCTCTAACCAGGGTCTCTCAGCAGCGGCGAGCACTGGACTCTGACTCCACCCTCGGCCCGACTCGTTCCAGAACCGGGGGTGAGGGTACACAAGGCTGGGTTGGGTATCCAGCAGCGGCGAGCTGGGTCCGACTCGTCCGGGACTGAGCAGAGAAGCCAGGCTGAACCCGGATCGATCGATGCGATCGATGCGCTCGGCGCGCGGCGCGGTCCAAGGAGGGGGCCTGGGATCCGCAGGGGCGAGGCGGCGAGCTCCGACTGTGAGGGACGTGCCCGGCGGCGAGTCCCTATTGGCAGGCCGTTTGGGGGAGGCGGATGCTGATTGGCCCGGCCGCCGCGGCCGAGTGCGGGCGGTGGGGTTAAGCGCGTCGCCGCCTCCCCGGCCTAGGCGCGAGCACAGAGCGCTGAATCCGCACCTCGGACCTGCAGCGGCGGTGTCACGCAATGGGTCTTCGCCTCTGTCCCTACCATGCGGCGCTGCTCCCGGGTGGCTTCCTGTGCCTCCTGCTCCTGGCGGATCCGGCGCTCCCGGTCGGACGTCCCCCCTCCGTGGTGCTGGGTGAGGCGCGCGTCCAGTCGTGGGTCCGTGTGTTCGTGGGTCCGGCAGGACGGGGTCCGGGGGCGGGGCGCTATCTTCCAGGGCTGCATCTGCTCTGAGCATGCGGTGGGGGAGCATATGACTGTCTTGCCCCCTGGGTCTGTCCGTCCACCTCCCGCCATGCTGCGTGCGGGTGTGGTCAACCTCTGCTCACCTTCCCCTGTAGAATATGGGGTAAGTGGGAGGGCTACGGTGCGGTTGTCCCTCAGTCCTCCTGTCTGCGTCAGCCCCAAAAGTTGCCTCGCTTTATGCCCATATTTTAGCTGGAGAGACCGAGGTCCTTTGGCCCCACTCCTGAGGATCGCCGGGGGCTCGGGTTTTCTCGGATTTGGTCCCCAGGGTCCTCATTGTTGGTTTGGGCATGGCTAGGAGGTTCTCTCGACCCTTCCAGCCCCGTATGTTTCAGGAGGCATTATTAAAAGGAAGCTTTTTGAGGAAAGAATGGCTCTCCTAGCCTACCACCGAGACTTCCCCCACCCCCAAACTTATCAAATGGGTGGCCTTAGGTCTGAGGGAGGAGGCTTAAGGGAATCTGAGGATGGCTAAAGACAGAGGTAAGGTTTGGGACAATGGCTATGAACAGACGTCAAGAAACATACCTGTACTCTTACCCTGCCAGACCAATTTGGACTGGGCTATATTGGGACTAGATGACCTCCCCTGCTTATCCCCTCCGTGGTCCTGGCCCCTGCAACTCTACAGGAGCCACAGTATTTCCTTGTGGTGGTGGACAGGGAAGAGACTTCTGTCTTGGGAGTCTTGGATGCTTCATTCAAGCATTGAGTTGGCGGCCAGCCAGGACTCCTAAAGGCACAGACATGTTACATATTGAATCTGCTACAGCATGACCCCCATGCTCTTTCTAATGGGAATATTTTAATGGGGATGATGCACATTGCAGAAGCGTAGGGTTGGCAGGCAGTGTGGTCCCAGGGGGGTCCCGCACCAGGAGCTCTAGGCCAGGAAATACCCCAGGGGGATGCTGGGCTCAGGTTCACCATGGTTATTTGGGCAGACATGGCCCTGCATTCCCTAAACTTGCAGGGATCCCCAGAGATGAGGTCTGTGTTGGGCAAGCACAGAGAGTCCACCAACCCAGTCAGGAAAGGTTTCTTTTTTTTTAAAGATTTTATTTATTTATTAGAGAGAGTGAGAGAGAGAAAGAGCACAAGAGGGGGGAGCGGGAGAGGGAGAAGCAGACTCCCTGCTGAGCAGGTAGTCCGACGCGGGACTAGATCCCGGGACTCCAGGATCATGACCTGAGCCGAAGGCAGTCGCTTAACCAACTGAGCCACCCAGGCGCCCCAGGAAAGGTTTCTTGGAGTGTGTAACTAGAGCTGAGGCCAGGAGAGAGTACCAGGAAGAGGAAACTACATATTAGAGGGAGGGAGGTAAGCAGTCCAGGCTGTCTGGAATGGAGTTGGGGAAGGAGTGGATTGCGCAGGGCCTGTGACTGGTTGGGTCATCTAGACTTTATCCTGTAGACCCACAAGGGGCCACAGGTAGGCCTCAGTTCTGAATATGAAGGGTATGGCATTGGGAAATGTGTGGTCCCTGATGCACGCAGGCTTTTTGCTTGGATCACTGCATTCATTAAATCATTCAGTTCTTGGTTGTCCTAGGTCACAGCAGAGGAGCCTCACACTCCACCCAGAGTCACAGAATCCTAATCTGCCTAGCTTCTCAGAGAGTGAAGGTGTTGGCATCAGTTCTGGGAAACCCCCTGGTGGGCAGTGGAAGAGCTGTTCCTGTGCACAGAGCAGGGACCTGACCTTGGCCATCAGAGGATCGGCATCCAAGGGTGACCAGCCTCTATGAGTGAAACCCAAATTGGTGGTAGAGGAAGCAGAGACCAGAGAAGTGATACAAAAGAAGTGGGCAGGAGGAAACTGTAGCAAGTCATTTCTGCCCCTCTCAGCTTCAGTCTCCTTGTCTGTAAAGTGGGCATTGTAAGGATGTTCTCTCCCAGTGTTATTTGCAGTGAAGGGTACATAGATGTCTGTTGTCCTAGTTTTAAGCAACATGGGGCTTAAGAAATCACCACACAGCCTGTGCAGGACAAAAGGCATTCAGGCACAACAAATCCGGTGGCTTCCTCATTTAGCCAATTCCTTTTTGGTGGAGACAGTGACCAAGGTCTCTGTGCTGTCATACTGAAGACTCCCCACTTCTGCATCTGTATTGTTAGGGGAGGTGAAGGCAGGTGCCACACCTCCCTCCCATGGTAGTCCTGAGGACACAGATGATGTACAGGGAGGGCATTCCCTCTTCAAGGCTGGGTTCACAGAGCCCCGAGAACCCTCAGGAGAGCCAAGAGCTGGTTGTTCACTCGGGGATCATGGATTCTAAATGGGGATGTGCTTGGAAGGTGTCAAGAGCATGGCATGTAGAAGCAGGTGAGGCCTGAAAGGTCAGTGGGAGCAAATATTCTGGGAAGGGCCTTAATGTTGGGCAGTGAAGCCAGGGGGATGGGTTTGAGTGTCACAAGGGCCCCAGGGCTCCGTGTAGACCAGGCTCTGTGTAGCTGGTCTGTTGAGCAGCTTGGGCAGAGAGAAGTTATCCTTGGGGCCTGGGCACACCACCCCTACTGGGCCATGGCTGGAATGCTGTGAGGTTTCAGGGTAGCCATCTCTGCCACAGGGGCCAGGTGTGCTGAGAGGCTAGGGCGCTCCACATGCTCTGCTCCCTGGAACCTTATGGGCTCTCGGGAGGCTGGCAGCCACCTCTGTTCACTGCCCCGCTGCACAGGCCTGTCCTGGAGTGCCTTCTCTGGATTCACTTTTGGTTGTTTAAGTGGCCCAGTGCTTTGTCCTGTTTCCCACTGCTTTGAGTGAACAAGGCCCTCCTCTGTAGCCTGGGACAGCTGTGGGTAGAAGGCCTATGGGTTCAAGCCTCAGGGGTCCCCAGCCTGCCAGGTCCAGGGCCTCATGCGTGCTCTGTGTCCCTCCGCAGTGCCCGGTGATTTGGGCAACCAGCTGGAAGCAAAGCTAGACAAGCCAACGGTCGTGCACTACCTATGCTCCAAGAGGACAGACAGCTACTTCACGCTCTGGCTCAACCTCGAACTGCTGCTGCCAGTTATCATTGACTGCTGGATTGACAACATCAGGTGGGGGCTGGGGCACAGACGCCGTGCTGCTCAGCGACCCAGCCGAGAGAGATCTCTAGAACCCGGTTCTGTCTCATCCCCACTTCAGCACACCCTGAGGTCACTGACCTCTTGCCCTTCTCCTTTCCTCAGTCTGAACGGCGCCATCTCTGCACCCTCCCAGACAGAACTTTCTTCCCTTTCCTGCAGCTCTTGTCCCTACCCTTTCCAGCTATGCCTTGTGCTTCACACCCTCTGCGTGAATTCTTTTTTTTCTCCTTAAGATTTTATATTATTTTGGGTGCCTGGGTGGCTCAGTTGGTTAAGAGTCTGCCTTCGGCTCAGGTCATGATCCCAGGACCCTGGGATTGAGCCCCACATTGGGCTCCCTGCTCAGCAAGGAGTCTGCTATTCCCTCTCCCTCTGCCCCTCCCCCTGCTTCTTCTCTCTCAAATAAATAAAGTCTATTAAAAGAAAAAAAAAATCCCTACACCTAATGTGGGGCTCGAACTCACAGTCTCAAGATAAGAACCCCATGCTCTACCGACTGAGCTGGCCAGGCGCCCCCTTACATGTAGATTCTATGCTCCAGCCCCTATTCATAGCCTCAGTATGGCCTCCACTTCTTCCTTGCCTCTGAGTTGGCCACTGGCCCCTCAGCTTCTTGTTCCTCCTGGGACATACCAGGTCTCCATGTCTTTGTACATGTGGTTCTTTCAGCCTGGAATCTACCTTTACACCCTTTGCCTGATAAATTCCCTCCCATTCACCCCCCTTTTTTTTTTTAAGACTTTATTTATTTATTTGAGAGAGAGAGAATGAGAGACAGAGAGCACGAGAGGGAAGAGGGTCAGAAGGAGAAGCAGACCCCCCGCCGAGCAGGGAGCCCGATGCGGGACTCGATCCCAGGACTCCAGGATCATGACCTGAGCCGAAGGCACTCGCTTAACCAACTGAGCCACCCAGGTGCCCCCCCCATTCACCCTTTAAAACCTGAGCCTGGTCCTTCTGGAAAGTTTCCCTTGCCACTCCCCAGAGCTCTTAACCTTTCCTTCCTCCAGGCCACATGCCTATTTCCTTTCATCCTTATCAGGTGCCAAACTTTGCTTTGAAGGATGTTTCCCTGCTAATAAGATAATGTTCTGGGAATGACTGCTTATCGAATACAGGCACTGTCCATATTATATACTTTCTTTCATTTAATCTTATAGCAACCCTGTGAGACAGGTACTGTTTTCAACCCTGTTTACAGATGAGGAAATCTGGAAGCTCAAAGATTACAAAATTGCCTAGGGTCACTTAGCTAATAAGTGGCAGAACCAAGACTTAAACCCAGATTGTGTGACCCTGAGCTAAGACCCAGCTCCCTGAAGACAGAGGTTGTCTCTCTTTTATCTTTATAGCAGTAGAACCAGGAACACAACTGGTGCTCAGTAAATGTTTGAGCTGAATGGAGTCTCACAAATTAAATTTTTTTCCTGGAGACATACTAGCTGGTTCTCCAGGTGCCTTGCCTTTCCCTGTTGTTTATGACATCTGCTTTGTTGACTTTTTCCTC